CATTTTTTATGTGAATTGTGATTTTTTTTAAAAATGAAATTCAGAAAGTTGTGAATAAATCCTACTCAATCCAGTCAGTATCATGAAATAAACATGAAAAGCTATGACAATGAAAGTCAAGGAACACAGTAAAAAAATAATAAAGATTTTTTTAAAAATTACAAAAAAAAAAATCGATGACAAGAGGGAACAGCAACCATCCTTAGAATTGACAATGAAGACCTTAAGAGAGATTCTGCTTTTTAGGGGTTGACTATCCTGAACTGACAACCGAGAATACACCAGAGTTTAGCACTTGATAGGATAGCAATGAAAGCCATGGAAAAGATATTGAGATGCCATGATGTGTCTATGCTTACAAAGATCAGAAACAATCAAAATATGATTTTCCTGTGGTGCTCTATGAAAGGAAAATTTGGTTTTTGAAAGAAGATACAGTATCGATGTTTTTAAAGAATGGTGTTATAGATAACTGCGGAGAATATAGATAGCCAAGACAACAAACAAATGAATTATATCACTCCAAAATTCTCAGTCAAAATTCTCTCAAATGGCTCACATTTTCATATTTTGGATACATTATGTTAAGATCCTGTTCCCTTCTGAAGGCCATAATGCTGGAAAAGCAAGAGAAGAACATGACCAGCAGGATGGTGAGTGTTCTTAGTCACAACAGTGATGAGTCCATTATGGGCAGTTCCTTCTGGAGAAATCTCTTTTAAGGAGTTGCTAAAAGTCTAGACTGACTTTACAGTCCATAAGCAGTCAAACATAAAGAGATGATGAGATAGCACACCTGTGACTAGAAATTCCAGTTAAGATTATGTTCTGCTCTGGGATGTTTATTCTCAAAATTATGTTTTGTTTTTTGTAATTATGTCCTTATATGAAAGGAGTTCTGGAATGCAGCTGCCACCAACAGAGGATGTTCTTATTAATATTTCAATGATTGCTGATCTATGATGGCAGATCATAACCATTCACTCTTAGCTTTTCTTTTAAGTACCAAAGTATGATGGTATGATTCTGCTGAGATTATATGTAATATCATGGAAAATTAAACTTGTCCCCTTAAATATTCATCTCACTCACAGATGATAGCCTCTCATTTCATAGGCAAGAAAGTGCTTCTAAGCCAATGAAATGCTTATCCCTCAGGGGATTTCTTTTCTTCCAAAACCCTTTGCTGGATAAAACATTTCATTATCAAAAGCAGCCTCTTTCACTGCCATTGAACATGCCAAGATCCTGAACTAATATCACAGTTGAATCAAGTCAAATTAGTTGCATATTGGACACAGGTTGATAGAGACTTAAAGGATTAGCTCAAGTTTTGTTTTTGTTTTTATTCTAGCAATTCAGAGATAAATGGATATACCAGTGACATGCGGTGAAGGTTATGGCTGGTGAGGCAAAAAGAAAGAAAGTGGCTTTTGCCACCCCTCTGCAGCAGCTATGTCCGAAATAGAGGCGTCCCGCGCCCCGCACCCCGCAGCTATGTCTGACTCAGCTGCGGGGCGCGGGGCGCCTCTATGTCAGACAGAAGCGGTGGTGCGCTTTCTTTCGGCTTTTGCCTACCCCGCAAGGCAAACACTTCCATCTTGCAGGCGCCGGAGCCGCAGGCCACCAGGAGTACGTCCCGCCTGCAGCAGAAGAGCACCGGTTCCTGCCGGTTCCTGCCCAGGCTGGAGCAAGAGCCACGGAGGCGAAAGGCGAAGAGGGGCGGGGGTGTGTGTTCCAAGAGGCCCCTTCCCCTTTTTGCACTCCGCAGGCCAGGATTTCCAGGAGCAGAGGATCCGCATTCTGCTCCCCCTTCCATGCCCCGAGTGGCCAGCCTCGGCTCCCGCCGCTTTGTTCCAGAGCTCCGGCAGGCCCGCCAAGGAGGACCCCGGACAAGGTTGGAGCGAGAGCCGCGGAGGCGAAAGGCTGGCCACTCGGGGCTTGGAAGGGGGAGCGGAATGCTGGTCCTCCACTCCCAGAAAGTCTGGGGAGGGAAGCGGGGCCGGCCCGTTTCCTCCTGGGGCTGCTTGGAGATGGAACCGGGGCTGCGGAGACT